CTTTTGAAAGGTAGGATTCTTAAGGACAGCGCCCCAGCTAAGCAGAGCTTGTTGCGTTGGCTGGCCCCTGCCCTGCATCTTCCGATCGCGCAATTCTTGATATATGACAGAATTTAGAGTCCGAAGTCGTACGCACCTAGCCGCGCACGGCCGGTCCCCTCACTGCACAGCGATTGATGTGAGTAATGTTAGGAATTGGTATGCATAATACATATATTATTTCTTAAGTTAAGCAATTTCAGGCACTTGGTATTCTTCACTTATCACTCATGGGGTCACTGGCGGGCTCCTGAGGGCCTAAACCATTCTCTGGGAGCTCTATAGGCGGGCTCCTTTGGGTCTTTCCAGTTGACTAGCATATCCCTCGCCCTGGCAGGGGGGGAGGGGGTCGATGCGACCCCCCCCCCCTAAGGTTTTTCGAAGATAGCGTAAAAACGGCGGCGCGCAGCGCCACCAAATTTAGCACAGCCTATGGGGAAACCTTTTTACAAATGACCTGAAAATTTCAGGTCCGAGTGACCTTGGGTCAGGTCACCAGGTCAGAAAAACCGGTACAAAGTCATGGTCAAATTTCAATTTTCTTTTTGCACCTGTCCAACTCACAGTTTTGGACTGATTTCCTTAAAACTTTCAGGATGTTCTAAGTTCACCGAGTTGCATAACATATAGTTCGGGTTTTTTTAGGTCACTGACCTGAGGTCAGTTAGAGGTCATTACGTCGTAATGTTAAGCCTATGGGAAAATACTAAATTCGGAAAATACTGGAGATATCCGCTTCGTTCTATCACTTTTGTGCTTTGAAACCACAGTACTTAGCAGCAGGTCACTTGGTGCTTCTTTTTTTGGTGTACTTATCCATGGGTCAGGTCAAATGAGGTCAAGTGAGGTCAAATGACGTTTTTGCCAATAACTTGGCACATAATGACGCTAGAGCTTCAAAAATGGTATCATTGTGTTTCTGGTGATCAGCTGAATCGAATGATATGCAATATGATGCAATTTGGTTAACTTGAGCTTAATTAATTAATTAAAGTTTACTTAAAATTTAAGAAAAACTTTCAGTACACTTAAGTAAGCTAAAAAGTATATCATTCGACGCGCCTTGACGTGCTGAGCTCACTGGTGCTTTTCGTTTTGCTCTATCTTAATCAGATCAAAAGTTATAAGGAAAAACTTTTGACCTGTTTTTAGCGAAGTATTTACATTTATACCCCCCCCCCCCTAAATATTGACCTAGAGCAACCAAATTTGCACAGGGGCGAGAACTCCAGGGGGCCCACCTACCTACCAAATTTGGTGTTTCTAGGTGCCATAGGAGCCAATCACGAGGGGGGGGGTTCGCATCGACCCCCCCCCCCCTGCCAGGCCGTGTTATGAAAAATGCCCTGCCAGGGCGAGGGATATAGGGCTCCACGCGCGACTCAACTTCTGAGTTATTAAACTGCAGCTACAATGGTCTCTGAGGAGTCCCACCTGTCTATTTTTTGAAGAAAGCATTTCATTGATTGTTTTCTTGCATGATAGACACTTTGAGAAAGGGATCCTCAAATCGTCAACTCGATGAATTGATAAAAATCACTAACATCTCAGGAGGCACACTGCTAAATGCTAATACCAATGCATACGTATATAGGTACCTAGTTATAGGCAAGAGGCGTGTCTTTTGTGGCATCATATTGGACCTTCCTCCTCCCCCCCCCCCACCGCTCAGCAACTTTGACATCCGGGGATCGGGCCGGCCATGACATGAATCCCCCACCCCCAAACCGAAAGTCTGGATGGATCCACCCTGGTGCCGTGGTGCCCTAGCTAATCGCTAACTAGAATCGGCGCACACTAATATCGCAGTTTATATGCGGTTTGTATGCATAGATGTCGCAACCATAGCGACACATGCAGTGCAAATGGTAGCAGACTGCAGTAGTTTCCCCTACGAAAGTGGTGGTTTTCTACCACAGATGCTCGTCGAGGTCGGAATTTCCAACGCGCCTGCGATGGGCTTCCTCAGGCATGAAATGGGTGCTCTGAGTCTTGAGATGGGCCCATTAGACATGAACTGGGCCCTCAATAGACATGTGGTGACGCATATCAGGCATGATATCAGCTCAATCAGGACTGGGATAGGCCCTCTCAGACCCAGACCAGGCACGGACCCTCCCACACATAGGATGGTCCTCACTCCTCTCATGCCTAAGATGAGCCTTCTCAGGCCTGAACTGAGCCCTCTCAGGCCTGAAATGTGCCCTCTCAGGCCTGAAATGGGCCCTCTCAGGCCTGAAATGTGCCCTCTCAGGCCTGAAATATGCCCTCTCAGGCCTGAAATGGGCCCTCACGAACCTAAAATGGGCCTTCTCAGACCTGAAATGGGCCCTCTCAGCCCGAAAATGGCCTCATGTCGAAAATGGGCCCTCTCATACCGCAGCTGGGTCCTCTCAGGTCTGAAATGGTCCCTATTAACCCTCGCCGGACCTATTGGTTTTCTACATACGCGCCTGCCGAGGGGGGGGGGGTACGACCCCCCTCGCCGTTTCGCCCCTGGTGGAGCTAGCGCGTCACGGAAAAAACGAGCGTGTGCGCCGTTACGAGACGCAGAGATTGGTACCCGATTTTAAGGTCCTAGGTCAACCGGTGACCTCTGAGGTCAGGTCAAGTGTCCCAAGATACGGTTCAGTTTTTGGTGAATAACTTCGCAAAAAAACGGCCGCAGAGCCGCGATTTTGGCAGTATCGTGTTCGCCTCGCTCAGGCGCGTCGAATGATATACTTTTTGTCCGGGTCAGGTCAACTTTGGGTGTTGACCTCAGGTCAAGGTCAGGTCAGCACCCCGAGGTCACGAAGTTGGTCGAAAGAGGTCATGTCGCATATCATTCGATTCGGCAGGTCTTCCTGAGTCCATTGGTGGCTTTCCCGACTCGCTAGCTCAATTTGATCAAGAGTTATGGACGAAAAACTAATATGACCTTGATGACGTCATAAATGACGTCACGCAAGGTCAACATTGCAAAAGTGACGCATCTAACCTTGCAAGGAGTGCATCAAATCACTATTCTGTGTGCTTGAGATAGTTGGAGATCGTTCCCGGCGCCAGAATAGCAGTTTTCATTTTTCCCCATTGACTTATAATGGTGAGGTCACGAAAATGACCTGACCTCATATGACCTTGAGGAAAAATCCGAGACATACAAGTTGTGAGACTCATAATGGATACTAGATCCTGCAAGTTTCATTTCCCTGTGACATCTCCTCTGGCAGTGAGGGCGTTGCGAAGTTGCGACATCTGAAGACCGTGCAGAGGTTCACTTATGACGTCATAGGTCAGTGACCTGACCTGACCTGAAAATGCGGTTGGTGTCAAAAGATCCGGCTTGAATCAAAGGTCAGGTATGCCAAGTTTCAGCTCTCTATCGCCAGCGTGTTCGGAGCTATCGCGAAAAAAACCCTATGGGGGGGGCGGCACCCGCCCCCCCCCCCTCGGCCGGCGAGGGTTAAGCCTGAATGGGCCCCTCTTAGGCTTGAAATGGGCCCTCAGGCCTCAAACAGGACCTCTAAGGCCTGAAATGGACCCTCTTTAGCTCGAAATGGGTCCTGTCAGGCCAGAGATGGGCCCTCTCATGCCGTGGAACGGGCTACCCTAGCCTTGCAGTTCCAGGCGGTCGGGGGGTGCATTTTTTTCCCCTTTTAGTTTTTTTCTATAAATCTCTAGAGCCGCTGCGCCGATCGTCACCAAACTTTCAGTACCTTCCCTTGAATAGCTATTGCACATTGTGACTGAATTTTTTCCAAAGGCTATGATAGGTTGGCCGCTAATGACGTCGGAGTGACGTCATTTCCGCCATTTTCGACTAAAAAAAGGTTTCGCGGGAAGAGCTGTCAGGCCTACATCTTTAGAGATACAGAAAAATGTTGCGTAAATAAAAGATGCAGAATTACCAAGGCTGCCAAACTGCTATCTCGGATTTTGAATTTTTAGGATTTTGACCCCAAAAAATAAAAAAATAGATTTTTTGAACATTATAGCCGTATAAAAAATTGAATTTCGAAAAAACGGAATGTGTGTGACAGTCCTTACCGCCTTCTATCCACATACCAAATTTGAGATCGATACCTCTGTTTTGGCAAAGTTATAGCGAAAAAAAACTGTTCAAAATTGATGACGTCAAATTTTCAAACTCAATTTTTAGCAATTCTAGACCCCGTAGCGCAAAAAAAATAAAGACCACCATTAGACTCCCCGTGATGAGCTGCATCGAATCGATACCCATTTTATGCAAAAACATTAACTTTGAAATTTGACCTAATTTGACCTGACCTTGACCTGACCTTCACCAGAACGTAACCTTAATTGGCCCCAAAGGCTGCCTGACCCAAATAATCGCATTTGTCAAGTAAAATGGACCATAAAACATGTATCACACGACACTTTCATATTGTGACCCCCAGTGACCTGACCTCTGTGATCTGACCTGGTATCAGTGACGTCAGATAGCAAAGTATGTGTTTGACGAACAATAACCATCGATGGCTTTCAATAACTTACCAATTTACTCGATTTCACAACACATTTCTTGAAATGCCTGTGAACGGTGAAAATCCGACCTTTGACCTGACCTGTGACGTCATCGGTTTGACTTAGGTCAATGAAATTTGGTCACAAGCTATATACGGCCTTGTTCACAAGGTAGTTAGTTCCCCGGTGGGGCTATCGAACGCCGTTTGAATTTTGAAAATCGGCCGGTAAATTTCCGAGATCTTAGGGGGGGCCGAAACGCCCCCCCCCCCTACGGGTGGTAGGGTCCGCCCGGATAGCCCTACGGGGTGCGGGTTAACAGAAAGTAGGTGTCCGGTGAGCTCTGAGACACCCAGAAACCATGCACCTACAGCCATCATCTCCTGCTTGTAAAATACCTAGTCTTTTTTTCGACAAAACCGATAATAACTCCAATGCTATTGCAAAGTTGTTATCACTGTGAAATGGGTTCACTGCAAGTGGAACTAACTCACCGTCGGCCAGCAGTCCCTTCACCAGGTGGAACTTGACGTTGGTCTCCAGCTGCAGGAGGCGGCCGCCGGTGGCGCGGCACCGCTGCGCGGCCGCCGGCTGGGTGAGCGGCTGCGCCGACAGGCCCGACAGGCACAGCCGGCGGCCCGGGCGCGCCGCTCCCACCCGGCTGTAGCCGGACGGACAGGCGGACGTCGCCGGCGGCGTCGCCGTGCTGACCGCCGCCGCCGGCACCGTCGGCCTCACCGGCGCGTTGACCACGGGCGACAACATCGGCGCGACCACTGCCAGAGGTGGCAGGGGAGGGGGGGGGGGCTGTGAGCGGCGCCAGAGGTGGCAGGGGAGGGGGGCTGTGAGCGGCGCCAGAGGTGGCAGGGGAGGGGGGGGGGCTGTGAGCGGCGCCAGAGGTGGCAGGGGAGGGGAGGGGGGCTGTGAGCGGCGCCAGAGGTGGCAGGGGTGGAAGGGGAGGGAGGGGGGCTGTGAGCGGCGCCAGAGGTGGCAGGGGAGGGGGGGGCTGTGAGCGGCGCTAGAGGTGGCAGGGGGGGGGGGGCTGTGAGCGGCGCTAGAGGTGGCAGGGGAGGGGGGGGGCTGTGAGCGGCGCCAGAGGTGGCAGGGGAGGGGAGGGGGCTGTAAGCGGCGCCAGAGGTGGCAGGGGAGGGGGCTGTGAGCGGCGCCAGAGGTGGCAGGGGTGGACAGTGCAACACCCGACCACCCATCACGGAGCACACAAGACTCGTGGGAGACAAGAGTTCATTTTCCCGCGCCATGCTTGGGTATACGTCATTGAAGGTCTCTAGCAGTTTTTTTTTACAACAACTTTGGTATTAGACATATTAGAGTGATGAAAACACCTTAGACGTGCTCCGCTTTGCAATACGGATCGACTTGTATGCAACATGACCTTTTACCGGTTGGGTCATGAACTTGACCTTAGGTCAGATTTTCAAAATGACCTTTTCAGGTCAAATTATAGTTTATTCGACGCTTGTGACGAGAGAAACGCGAAGCCGTCAAAAGCAATGTTGTGCCCTTTTGAGTCAAAATTTATTACAGAAAGCAGCTCTAATAAAAAGGGAGTTTTAAGTTTTGTTTCGAGCGGCCGTTTTTTCGGGAACAAGTTACGAAAATTCGTAGGGGATCCATCCGACTCCCCGTCCGCTTTAAGTGAGAGGGTTAAAATTCAGCATGCGGCCTTGCACCAGCTCAGTGTTTTGTAGAACCTGGAAAAAGACATCCTTAAACACTAGCAGCACCCAGTCAGTTTCGATGTAGGGTTTGACAGTTGACTCACGGGTTTCAGAAGGCATGCCAGCGCTGACAGCTCAATAAAGCATAGCAACGGTAAGTAGGTTACCTACGGCCCGATTCCACAAAGTCTGCCATTTGAAAGGTCATGATCCACCATGCTATTTGGCGCCGGCTTAGCGAGAGCTGTCACCATCTGGTGAACCGTGAACTTCTCTGCGTCCCACCACCCCTGCTTCCCACCACCCCTGCGTCCCGCCTCCCCTGCGTCCCGCCTCCCCTGCGTCCCGCCACCGCTGTGTTTCACCACTCTCGGCTCCCACCGCCCTAGAGTCCACCACCCTCGAGTCCCACTACCCCTGGTGTCCCACCATCTTTGTTTCCCAGTATCAATGTGTCCCACCACCCTTAACCTACGTCCCGCTGAGGCACCTGGATTTTCACGCCCTTCCTGGGGGATGAACATTGAACACCCATCGGCCATCCCCATCTAACCCTGCTGCCTGAGCCACATTGCGACAGGCGGTACGAGTAAGTGACGTTGGAAAGAGTGCCAAAGTCACAGGAAAATTTGCTACCTACTCTAAAGTTCTTTTTATTTCCAATGGTATGGTTCTAAGTACATTTTTTGACTTACCACGCGATTTAGCAAGCAAAAAGGGCAAAAAGTCAACCTGAGGCCTCTTGCACCTACCCTTGCACCAAACTAGGTAGGTACCTAAATTCCGATTTTACCTAGATTCCCTTGCACCAAACTACCTACCAAAAAAAAGACGTTCCCGTGAAAATTTTCCCAAGAATGCTTCCGAGCGGCATAGGAAACTACCAATGTTTAACTGCGAACGTCCATTTTCCTCTTGCACCGAAAGCCGGAAAGTAGTACTCGCGGAGGAATTTTTTGACGGTTTGACGGTAAACTCGAGCCTCCAAAATAGCTAGGAAATCATTAGGTAAAATAGTTCAATTGTTAAAACAGGCAAAATAGATAATAAGCCACAGGCATTTTTAGGCAAATTAGGCATGACAATATATTTAGACAATGATAAATCAATGCTTTATGGGTGAATGATAATATAATTGGCCAAGCTCCATGGGTATACACAGAGGTGCTTCACCGTACCAAGGCGAAAAATCTTCGTACCGAAACAGCCACATTGAAGACTCACTCGTTGCCCCGGATAGGCAACTTATTGGTTCAAATAGTTAAGGCGACTTTCACCGCTATTTACATAAATGAAAAATGATTTCATAATACCAAAAGTATATTTATAAAAACAATATCCACTGACTAGTTTTCTTTACTTACTATTTGTTTGTGCAAACAAATAATACGTCGCCAAAGAGCCAATCCAAACAATTCTTAAAAACGCGAGCTGTCCAATTTACCTAGGTAGGTATGTAGGGTAGGGTACATAGAGTACCCTACCCTACATCCTACATAGGGTAGGATGATGCAAGAGAAGTTACTGCCATAGGTAGTTTTACCCAAGGTTTTACCAGTAAAACGCCTTTTGTGGCGACCAATGGAGCGAGCGAGAGGGTGGGCCTTGCACGTGCGAAATTGCGAGGGAGTACCTCCAACTAACTTGTGCACTGCAACATACTGTCCTATCCCTAGCGATGTGCCAAATTTGAGCGCAATCGGCCTTGCCGTTCTCGAGATCCGGAAGCGGCACCCTGCACGTGCGCACGTGCAAAATGGGTCCCAACTGACTTGCACGACACCCTACTAACCGGTCCCTAACCATACCTATACATAATTTCAGCGCATTAGGTTCAGCTGTTCTCCAGATCTGGAATCGACCCCTGCACGTGCGCACGTGCAGCAACACCTCAACTGTGGCACATGGATATGCATTGCCTAGTGGGTGCCTGCCTACATGCCAACTTTCAGCGCAATCGGCTCAGTAGTTACCGAAATATTCCAATTCTTACAAAACTGGCACCTCTTCGTCTTGCACGTGGCACGTGCATAAGGGGTCACCTACATGCATCGGGAATAGTCCAATACTTAGTAGAAGGAATGAAGCTACCCTACAAAAATTACCGCATGTTAATCAGTCAAGTGGTTGCTGAGATATAAGCCTCGTAAAACGTGCGCAAAGGCGTTGGCCGCTCATACTCAGAAGTTTCCATTAACCCGCGCCGGGCCGGGGGTGTTTGAACACCCCCCCTGCGGTTTTTCGCAGATATCTCAAAAACGGCGGCGCGGAGCGCTGCCGTTTGTGGCACACCTGTTCGTGCACCTTTTCCGCACATGTTGTGAAAATTTCAGACCCAGGTCACCTTAGGTCAGGTCACCAGGTCACGCCAAGTGACCTCAGTCTCACCTCAGAAAAAATATGAATGCTCGTCATAGCTACACCGATGGATCGATTGCCTTGAAACTTTCAGCGATTGATGAGAACAACATTATCTATAAAATGTGTATCTCGGAATTTTGATATCGGTGACCTAAGGTCAGATCAATTTTGCGACCTCTCCATTATAAGTCAACGGGAGAAAATTGAAAAGCGTCTGTTTTGCACGAACGCTATTCTAGACACTCTCAAACATCGAGATGTAGGTAAAATGGACACACTGAACCGGAAAATGGCAACTGTGACCCCTCGTTGTGTCCCCGAGGTCATCTCAGGTCACGAACAGAATCTAACAGTTTTTCGCTAATAACTTCTGATAGAGACGTGCTAAAGCGCTGAAAACGCCTTAGATGTGTTCGGCTCGACGTTGCGGATCGACTGATATGCAACATGACCTTTTCCGGTCAGGTCTTGACCTTGACCTGAGGTCAAATTTTCAAGTTGACCTTTCAAGGTCAAATTATAGTTCATTCGACGCGTCTCGACGAGAGGAACACGATGGTGGCAAAAGTAATGTCGTGGCTCTTTTGAGTCAAAAGTTATTGCCGAAAAAAAACGTTTTTCGTAAAAACGGCTATTTTTGGAGTTTTTGCCCTCTGGAGGCTAAACCGTTGACCTGAGATCCAATCTGAGAACATTATTCAGAAAGGTCTGTAAAAGGGCTATCGAATGCGTTTTTCTGCGGTGCTGTAGCTCTATTGGTTCCCGAGATAGCCGTTGGCAGTTTCCAAAATGTTGAAATAGTGGACATTTGACCTTTGGTGACCTCTGGTGACCTGACTTTTGACCTGACCCAAAAAATGACCGAAGTGTTTTCATCATTATTTTGGACGTTCTTTCGATTGCCGCTTACCGCGTGTCGCTACGTGGCCCAGGAGCCGAGTTAGAAGGGGGGGGGGGGGTGTGTGTTCAGACACACCCCCCCCCCCCCGGCCCGGCGCGGAATCTCAGAGCACCGGCCCGGCGCGGGTTATTGGCTACGAAAGACTTTGCTTGTTTCGCTCGCTCCGCAACTATACAGGGTGTCCCATAATTACCCGAACATTGTTAATTAGCGTATAAATAAGGCAAAGATGATTGCGCTTTTTTCTTTTTATCGTTCTATATAGTCAACTAAAGGGTGGCTGTGAAATAACACATGCATTAGATACGCTTGTTACAAGATCGGCCGACAATGATGGAAAATGCCAGCCATTGCTGGTCTTGCAGTTGTTTTACGGGTCTCCCGAAACTGGGTGTAGGCCTGTTTTCTTTGACCTCTTGCCGGAGGATAATACGATCGTATGAGATAAACTTAACATCAAAGTGTTCCCAGGCCATAAGGCATTATCCCCCAAAACAAAAATTTTTGCCGGCACCACTTTTGACGCGTTTTTTTACATCTGAAGTGGGGAAGCTCCATGTCTCAACATGGCGCGACCTTTGGCTTCCAACAGATTTGGTTTCCAAAACAAACCCGTTCATGGCCATTGGGTCACGGCATCCAGTTTTTGTACTGGTAGAATATTACCCCAGTAGTACTCTGTGCTAACGGTTGTCTTTGGGTCATCATATCAAGCCGAATGAGTGCACGGTGGCTCAAAATGTTTCACAATTTGATTTTCGACGGGTGCCTGGCCGTCTCAACTGTTGGGGCGTTGTAGCCATCTGACGTTCACACACGCCTTTTTCGGGCGGTT